TGCTTCTTGCATATGTTGTTGATTTTTTCATCTGTTTCTTCTTGCTTCTTGTATATGTTGTTGATTTTTTCATCTGTTTCTTCTTGCTTCTTGTATATGTTGTTGATTTTTTCCTCTGTCCAGTTTATGCACTCTAGGACTCTTATTCTGAATTCCTTTTCTCTCACGTCGCATGCCTCTGTATCACTTAGCTGCTTTTCTGGCGAGTCCTCCTTTTCTTTCCTTTGGGGGTTTCTTTGTCTACCCATGTTTCATCTCACCGACATATACAGATATTGAGTCGTTCAGTGGCTGCTCCCTGGGTAGCAGTGGCTCCTCAGGCTGTGGTTGCTCCTTGGGCGGTTGTGGTAGCCGCTGCTCCTCCGTTGGTAGCAGGTCCTCCAATGGGTGCTGTTCACAGCTGTGGTGGCTCTTCTGGCTGATGGAGGGAGGCTTCACACACAGCAACTGTTCCTCAGACAGAGCATGTGGTGATCAGGAAGCTGCTGTTGCTTGGATCTGCTTTCTGTGGGGAGAACCAGGGCCCTTCTGAGTTCATGTAGTCGCGCTGCTTGAGAGCCGTTGCTTCTGGGTTAGTAGCCGATGTCTGGTTGCCAGTAACAGCCACTCAAGATGGCGCGGTCTCCCGCCAATGTCAATATTAAAGGAAGAAAAATTTTATTCTGTTACAGTAGAATTTAGAGGTTATTTAACAAAGGCTAACGTCGCTTTGCTGTTTCGGAATTCCTGAAACCTGTTGAGAAAAGCTTCCCTCATATTTAAAAGTGTTGTTTTGAAATAGCAAATGTCAATATCAGAATTATATTCTTGGCAGTTTCAACAGGCTTGGAAAGTGAATCAAAGTTTCTCTTTCAAAATCTCGAGCAAAAAGATAATTTGTTTTTGAATGAAAGAACTTCTTCTAACATCGAAACAACTGTTTCCTTTCCCCTGTAGTTTACGATTAAGATGATTTAGATGAGACATAATGTCTACCATGAAATAAAATTTTTGTATCCACTGATTGTTCATTAGTTCTGGATAGTGAACACCCTTCTCAAGGATAAATGCTTTAATTTCTGTTAATAAGGAAGCGAAACATTTCAAAATGTTTCCTCTTGAGAACCAATGTACCTTGTCACATAGCAGTTGATCTGCATACTCTCCATTTCAACTAAAAATTCTTTAAATTGGCGATGATTAAGAGCTTTAGCTATAATGGAGTTGATAATCTTAATCACCAATTCCATAACTTTGCAAATTTCTTCTGGAAATGTCTGCGCACAAAGCACTTTGTGGTGATCAGGAGGCTGCTGTTGCTTGGATCTGCTTTCTGTGGGGAGAACCAGGGCCCTTCTGAGTTCATGTAGTCGCGCTGCTTGAGAGCCGTTGCTTCTGGGTTAGTAGCCGATGTCTGGTTGCCAGTAACAGCCACTCAAGATGGCGCGGTCTCCCGCCAATGTCAATATTAAAGGAAGAAAAATTTTATTCTGTTACAGTAGAATTTAGAGGTTATTTAACAAAGGCTAACGTCGCTTTGCTGTTTCGGAATTCCTGAAACCTGTTGAGAAAAGCTTCCCTCATATTTAAAAGTGTTGTTTTGAAATAGCAAATGTCAATATCAGAATTATATTCTTGGCAGTTTCAACAGGCTTGGAAAGTGAATCAAAGTTTCTCTTTCAAAATCTCGAGCAAAAAGATAATTTGTTTTTGAATGAAAGAACTTCTTCTAACATCGAAACAACTGTTTCCTTTCCCCTGTAGTTTACGATTAAGATGATTTAGATGAGACGTAACGTCTACCATGAAATAAAATTTCTGGATCCCCTGATCGTTCATTAGTTCTGGATAGTGAACACCCTTCTCAAGGATAAATGCTTTAATTTCTGTTAATAAGGAAGCGAAACATTTCAAAATGTTTCCTCTTGAGAACCAATGTACCTTGTCACATAGCAGTTGATCTGCATACTCTCCATTTCAACTAAAAATTCTTTAAATTGGCGATGATTAAGAGCTTTAGCTATAATGGAGTTGATAATCTTAATCACCAATTCCATAACTTTGCAAATTTCTTCTGGAAATGTCTGCGCACAAAGCACTTCTTGATGAATGATGTAATGATAAGTATCTTGTGATTAATTTTTTCTTTCGAAATAGCAACAAACCCGTTTCTTACTCCTGTCATACTTTTGGAACTGTCTGTTGAAACTGAGACAATTTTATCGAGTGGAATATGATGTTTTTCAATGCACTCAATTATAGCATTTGCTATATCCTCTCCACGTGTTTGACCTTTGAGTGGCAATAATCCTAAAAGTTCTTCTTTAGGAC